TCGTGAACTCTGACCTAAACTGAGACAAGTGAGGCCTGCAGTTTTTCACAAAATGTTCTGAGTTTTTTAGTGACCTCCTGGATGAGTTGTTGGTGCGCTCTTGGAGTTATATTGGTACACTAGTTCACCATTGGCTCTCATCGTGGTTCATGACTTTGTAACAGTTTCTAGACTGATAGTTCCCAATGACTTTGTACTTCACTTTGTCAGACAGATTCTATTTAAGTTCCTTCTTGATTCTGCAGGTCTAGCAGTAATCAGGCCTGGGTGTGACTAGTGAAATTGAACTTGGCTTTTTTTAACAAATGTGGTTAATCATGAAATTCATAATTTAACAATGGGGGGGCAATTACTTTTTCATACCGGTCTAGGTGGGGTCGGATAGCTTTTTTCTTTTAATAAATGAAATTTAAAAACAGCTTTTTGTTTTAACTCTGGTTATTTTTTTTGTCTAATATTAAAATTTGTTTGATAATCTGAAACATAAGTGTGACAGATGTGTCAGGAAGGGGGCAAATACTTTTTCACAGCACTGTAACTCGCTGGCTTTGCTTCATTTTGGCAACATTTTCTCTGCTAAACTCATGCTACTGTTTCTTCATCAGCACATACTTGTATAATTCCATTTGTGCACGTTGTCTTTTTAGTGTTGTAACTGTTTGCAGGTGTGTGTGTGCAATTAACATTTTGTCAAAGGTTAATGGGTGAAAAAAAAATTCATCTATCTTTTCCTCCGGTGTGCTCAAAAAAGTTTGCAGGCGTGAAGCCGTTGCACACACGCTTGTTTCACTATAGAGATGATGAAATGTTACCTCATTATGTCATATTTGGTTTTGTCAAGCTGCTAAAAAAATACTAAAAATTTATCAAATAGTTATTGAGTACTCCCCAGAGCCTAACTCCTGCTGCTGCCTCACCATTACTGCTGTGTGTTTCCTGTTTCCTCACCTACCTCCTCCATTTCTTTCCCATCTTTCCATCTCCTGCTTTCATCACTTGCACGGAGTGATGACAAAGATAGATAGAAGCTTTGGCAGCTGAAGGAAGAGATGAATATTTAAAATCGGGCATCTTTCTCTGTCCTCTCACTGCATCCCATCCTTTGTCTGTCTCCCCTTGGGGCTTGGATCTCCAGCTCTTGGTGTGGTGTGGCACAGTGTGCGTGCGTGTGTGTGGCATGTCTTGGCTTGTGGTTTTCTATTGGCATTCTAAGGCGAGTGTAGTCAGATGATGACACTTAGCTGTCAGCATGCAGCATTAATGAGCGCAGTGACACGCACAAACACTCACCCCACTCTCACACACACACGCAGCATTCCCCAGGGAGATCAGCAAATGATCACCTTCTCCTCTCTGTGTATCCTACAAAATATTTTAAAAGCTCTTTATTTTTTTAACCTCTCATTTCCACTGTCCCTCCATTTCATTTCTCCCTCCAAATTCGTGCTTCGTCTTTCGACATCGCACTATTTTTTCTCAAACTTTTTTGCCTCACTTGTGTGTGTACTCAAAGTGTGATATGTGTTAGTTGGCTGTGAACCATGCAGACACGTATCTGACAACTCTATTAATACACAGCCAGCTAATACTAGCTTCCTCCTGTGTGGATTTTTGCACGTGTGTGTACGTAAAGAGAGATGTGTGTGCTCAGTCCTCAACCAATCCCTCCCTGCACTCGAGGTCTCTGCAGAGATTTGTCTGAAAGGCTTAAAGCGTACAGATCTCCAGTCATAGAAAGATCATGCTCACAAATACGCGCAAACACACACACACACACACACACACACTCATATATATATCCCAGCTGACTCACCGACACTGTAGGGAGTTTGCAGTGACTGACAGATTTAATAGAAGAACAAGCTGTAATCTGAGGGAATCCATTCAAAGAGGGATTACATTGTAATCTGAGGATAGAATAGCTTTTCATCTTTCTCTCCCTGTCTCGTTCATTCTCCATTTATCAGTCGCTATCTTTTTTTTTGCCCTAAAGCCGCACCGATCCTTTTACTAGCCCTCTTTATATATATATATATATATCTTTCCGATCCTTGATTTAATTTAGGATTTTTTTCTGCTTCCATCTGACACACACACTTCCAATCCTAGCACAGCTGTGTCACCTCAGCAGCACTTTGCCGTCAATCAGCAATGATTGCGCTGACGAGAGCATTGTAACATTGCAATGCCTCTTTGGTGCTAAATTATACCCAGAACCATGTGCACATACACTTGGAGGAAGCTCACAAGATTTATGTTTTTTTCCCTCTCTGTTACCGCTTTTTCTTTCGTTTTTTTTTTTTTGCTTCAACAGCTCTTCTTTTTTATCATTCCTCTTTCTATAATGAAGCTTTTTAGCCCCAAGTTGTTGTTCTGATATTGCTCCATTCTGCAGCAACCCGTCCTGCGAGCCCTCCCTCCATCACTCCTGCTTTCCCTGCCTCTGCCACATGGTGTTTCTCATTTGCTAAATGAGGAATCCAATAGAGTTAGATTAAACTTTCTGGACTCTGTTTGTTGAATCTTTAGAGCGAGCCTTTTAGCTGCCACAGCTTGCATGCGCATGTATAATAATGCGCTCTGCCAGTTTGAATATCTGTCCTTGTTTAAGTTGAAGAAGATTAATTTAATAATCCCAGTTTAAACAACTAAAAGGCAAAGATAAGAGGATGATAGGGAATAAGGGAGGGAGGATAGGCGGTGGGGAACAAGAGATCCAGACGAGATGAAATGATAAGAGATTTCCCCAGAGAAAGAGCATGTTAGACACGCTGACAGAGAGAAGAGAAGAGCGAGGATCACACAACCGTATGGCATTTTGCTTCCCCCTCTATTTCTTCCATCGTGTCTGTCACTCCAGGAAGGAAAAGACCATCTGCGGTCCCCCCTCACTTTTTCCCCATCTGCATATATACCCGGTCTCCCTCCTCAAAGCCCTTTTTGTTTTTTGTTTTTGTCTCCCTTGCCATGCCAGTGTTCTTGCTGTCCTGATTTGTCGGTCTGCTCCCCCCAGACGCACAGGCTAGGTTAATAGGTTGGGTTCACATCCCCTTCCATTCATTACTTGTGGCCTTGTTGCTGCTGTTAAGGTCCGCTGATGGTTACTACTCCCTCTCTGACCCCATCTTCCTACACTGGACAGCTAATGGACACTATACCCTTGTTCCATCTGCTTCTACCTCGGCCTGCCCATCGTCGCTCAGCCTCTTTGCGTCTTCCACCCACTCCTGTTAAGCCATTTTCTTTTTTCTGAGCCCAGACCTTTCAATGTGTTCAACGAAGAAAGTAAGAGTGATAGAGACCTCCGCGATTGCTTCCATCTGTCTATTCTACCTTTCTTTTGGTGTCACTTTACTTATCTTCTACATTAATGACTCAGCCTCCACTCACTGAGTGTTGGTGTCAAGGCGCTCAAGTGTGTGTGTGTATCTGTGTGTGTGTGTGTGTGT